AAAAAAAAAAAAAAAAAAAATTCAAACTACCAGCATTACCCAGCAGGAATAGATCCACACTCCAGAACTGGGTGCTGAAGAAGGGCTTTTCTTCAAAAGATGAAAAGAAATTGAAATGAAATTATTTGTGTGAGTTGAGAGTGTGAATGTTTATACAGGGCAGTAAGAGTTATTTAAAATCTCAATCCTTGATAAATTTATTGAGTCATTTGAACACAAGATTTTTATTTATCAAATTTCAGAGTTGGCATACTATGTAGAATCAGGGTTCTAAGAAATACTTGTGCACCAGAACAGATATTGTTATTAAACAACAAATGCTATAGACTGCACTATGTAAATATGTACATCAAACATCACAGAAAGTGCTGTCCAGTCCACTGCCCCTGTGCTGGACCCCACCCCAGTTATAGATGCACCAGTGAGCCCTTGGAGTGTGATGGGGTGGAAATTACCAAGAAAAAGAAAGTAGATTGCAAAAATATATTTTATTCAGAACTTTTACAAAAATATGTCTTTCACATTGTTTAAGCCTCTTCGAGACCTGGGTGAGCAATTAAGTGACATCTAATTGAGAGCCATTAGATTTGTTACTGCTGCCCGTGTCCTCACCAATATCAAAATTCAGTAACCAATCTCAGACAAAACTTGAGGGTACAAAAGAAAAATAGTGATATCTTTCTTAAGATGAAGTCATCTAATATTCCATATGAATAACCACATAGTAATTGGATGTGCTTTAAATAGTTTGACTCAGATATTTAGCGCTCATTCTGTGAGGTACCAGACTATGTCACCCATAAGAATACCTCTGTTTTGGGAAGTGAAATATACTGTCTTTCATTTTATGTTCAAAGTCAAATGTGAAAGTGATGTTCCAGTATCCTATTATGAAGAATACTTTTCACTCAGTAATGAACATTATAGTAAATTTTTTTGAGAGATAGCAATTATGCAAATATGCAACAAGGTCTGCTTTTTCCCCAGAAAGTAAGACAGGGTTCATGGCTGAGCAGAACCTCACAGCACCGCCTGTCTTCATCCTGCTGGGGCTCACTAGGCTGCCGGAGCTGCAGCTCCCCCTCTTTGGTGTCTTCCTCTACATCTACGGAGTCACCGTGGTGGGCAACCTGGGCATGATCCTTCTGACCAAGCTGGACTCCCGTCTGCACACACCGATGTATTTTTTCATCAGACATCTGGCTTTCATTGATCTCGGCAACTCCACGGTCATTTGCCCCAAGATGCTGGTCAGCTTCGTTGTGGCCCAGAACACCATTTCCTATCATGCTTGTGCCACGCAGTTGGGCTTCTTCCTCACGTTCATCATCAGTGAGTTTTTCATCCTGTCAGCCATGGCCTACGACCGCTACGTGGCCATCTGTCACCCTCTGCTCTACAATGCCATCATGTCGCAGACACGCTGCCGAGTGCTGGTGGGCACCCCATACCTCTACAGCGCCTCTCTGTCTCTGCTGTTCACCACCAAGATCTTCACACTGGAGTTCTGTGGCCCTAACATCATCAGTCATTTCTACTGTGATGATGTCCCTTTGTTACCCATGCTCTGCTCCAATCCACAGGAAATACAATTGCTGATCATATTCTTTTCCACATTCAACTTGATCTCCTCCCTCCTGGTCGTCCTTTTATCCTACGTGCTGGTTCTCTTAGCCATGTGTCGGATGCACTCGGCCGAGGGCAGGAGGAAAGCCTTCTCCACGTGTGGCTCCCACCTGACGGTCGTGGTGGTCTTCTACGGGTCGCTTCTCTTCATGTACTTGCAGCCTGAGTCTGCACACTCGTTTGAGACTGACAAAATTGCCTCTGTGTTTTACACTTTAGTGATCCCCATGCTGAACCCTTTGATCTACAGCTTTAGGAACCAAGAGGTGAAAAATGCCTTCCACAGGGTCTTCAAGAAGCACTGCAAGCTTTTTAATTAATAAAAAATAATAAAATATGATACAGACGAGTATCATTTTATAACCTTTCCTTAGTTTTGCATGTATCCAAGATATCCATCATGGTATTGGGGAATGTGCATACATTGCAAGCTGGTCAATTCCTTTCAGGGCATTAGGACGCTCGTCATCTAAGAGTGTTTCTTTTCATTGCATCTTTTGTATTTGCGTTCCACTCCACTGTCTCTTCTGAGTGCTTAGAGCTGCAGTTCTGGTCTGTGTCCATCACCCTGGCTCCACCCTCGTCCCACCTCGGGGCCCCCGTGCACCTATGGTCACAACGCGGCCTCCCTCTGACCCACCTTGGCACCCAGCAGGTTGTTCTGTTTCCCCTTCTGCATGGGTTAGTTTTCTCTATCCCACATGAACGTGAACTCTGCGTGTCACACACTATTTTCCTTCCTGTGCTTTATTTCACTCAACGCAATGTCCTATAGTTCCATCCATGTTATCACAAACGGCACTAATTGCTTCTTTATTAAAGCCAAATAGTATTTCCATTTCTATTGTGAATTACTTTGTGTGCCTCAATATGTGGCACAGTGAAATATGTCGTAATGCACTGTATGTGTGCATGTGTGCACGCCACACCATTCATCCACCTTCTTCTGGCAGAGCTTTGCTCTGAGGTCTCGGCTACCACAAGTAGCACTGCAGTGAGCACGGGGTGAAGATACCTGTACAGGATGATGAATTCCTTTTTCAAAGGCATGAACCCTGGAAAGGGTTCGTAAGGCATGCTAGTGCATGTAGCGCCCTCTAGAGAGTGTGGCCCAGTTATTGCACCAATCTATACTCCCAATAGCAGGAAGAGAATTTCCTATAATGTATATGCTCACAAATACTTGTTTTCTCTTTTTTGCAATATCCACCTTTATATCCAAGAGACAAACCCACTTTGTTCAGGGTCTGTATTTGTAAACCAGTGCATTTGGTTGTCCTCTGCTTGATTGATAGTTTCTATTTTATGTATTCATTAGAGATACCACCTTGAAGGTGTATAAACTGCCCACCTGGGGCTGCAGAAGTAGCTCTGTGATCTAAAATGCCTGCCTAGCCAAGCAAAAGACCTGGGTTTGATCCCCAGTATCTCACGCTGTGCTGGCCTCGCCCCAGGGGCGCCAACCAGCTACAGGGTGGTGGCATATGCCAGGCCCGTAATCCCAGCACTGGAGAAGCTGACACAAGAGGATCACTGAGTCTGAGCTGCACAGTGAGATCCTGTACCCAATATATATATATAAAAGACTGTCCACGTGAACTGTGTTTGTAGGGTTCTTCCTGCTTGCATTTTACGGGAGTATTTAAGAAGAACTAGAATTAGTTGATGTCTGAATGTTTAATAGAATTCAGCTATGATGTCCTTTGGTCCTGGACTTACCTCTGTTAAGGGGTTTGTAATTCCTGCTTCAAACTCTTTCTTTGAAGTGTTCTGGTTCTATTGATCTACAAGTGATTTTTCTTTATAGGTGATATATTGCTAGTAATTTGCCGATATCTTCTTGATCATCCAGTCATTAACTTAGCCTTGCTCATAATAATCCTGCATAGTTCTTTTAATGAGGCATCAGTTACAATTCCAGCTTCATTTATGATTTCATTTAAGTATTCTCCCTTTTTCTTGCCCTAAGAGTTTTCAATTTTCTTTTCACGGTTTCAGTGTAAATTTTATTTCCTTAGTAGTGTTTTCTTTCCCTCTACTCAGAGGTGGAAGCTATGGGTTTCTCACTCAGCGGCATCCCGAGCTCTGCTTTCATCGCTGTTTAGATTTTTGTCTTTTTTGCTTCTCCATCAGGAACAATTCTTTTGGCGAGGGAACATACAGGACACTTCAGCTCCCTGGCGCTTCAGCCCTGTCTCACCCCTACAGTCCCTGATCACAGTTGTCCTCATGGACGGATGAGCGTAGAGTCAAATTCATTCAGAAATGTCTTAATGATTGTTAAATGTATTGATTGTTATTTTCACATCCACAAAACTCCGTGTTTTTCTCCAGTAAAAGTGTCTACAGTTTGCTGTAAAAACATCACTTCTCTTGCGCATGACTTTGCCTCCTCGCCAGCTTGTGAGCAGCCTCCTTCTGCCTGCCGTCGCCTGGGCTCAGCGGCTCCGGGCCTCCAGCACGCCGCCCTCACACACACGAAGCGCGCTGCACTGCGCTGCGGTGCTCTAGAGAGCTTTCAGCACTAGCGCGCATCACAGCGCAAGCACCTCGCCTCTCTGGACAAGGTGTCACTTCTCCACCGTGACAGTAAGTACCCATGATTACCGTGTCCCTCCACTAATGTCTGATTTACACGCACTGTCTCTAATTTGAATGCTTCTCAAAGCCAGATGTTCATCCAAAACAGAAATTGGGGGGGGGGAGTCAGATCAAGGTCCCCTATACTTTTTTTTTTTAATTTTTATTTATTTGAGAGAGAGAGAGAGAGAGAGAGAGAGAGAGAGAGAGAGAGAGGTGTGTGGCCAGCTCAGCCCACCAGGGGCGGGGCTGGCTGGCATGTGGTGCTGGGGGATTGAACCGCGGTCCCTGATGCTTTGCCAAGCTTGTTCTAAGTAGGTGCTTTAGACCACTGAGCCATCTCTCCAGCCCCACCCCTATACTTTGGAACAAAGATATTGAACGCAAAATAAGTCCTAAATATGTAGCAATAAGTCTGAGAACAGTGAGACCAGGGGAATCGGCCTTCTAGCCCTTGGAGCCCCTCGAACCATCTTCGCTTGCGTTCACAGAACAGAACAGGATTTTTAGACAGCTTGTACATGATTGGGAAGGACGCGGTTTACTTCAGATCATTCCCAACTAGGATTTATGCTTTCTATCATCCCAACAGTGTGTCAACTTGCACCCATAACTAGAGAGCCAGGTAAACTGTTAGGGAAAATAATGAAACAGAAGATTTCTGCATACCTGCAGTACTAGGAACAGCAGGTCGCTGTTTACTCTGCTCATGCAAGTTTAACTACTGGGCCAACTCTGGAGAAGAGAGTGCACGCCTCAGGTTTTGGCACGGTCTGGCCACAGCCTCATAGAGTTTCATGAAGTCAGTGAATGTAAAAACTGAGCAGATGCACATAGCTCTGGTCCAAGCCTGGCTCGGTGTTACTTGCATATGCCTGCACTCCAGGGACGTCCCTCCTCCGCAGCCCTCTCCGGACCCTTTCCAAGCAGAACCACCAGCACAGCACGTGACCTGCTTCTCGACTGGACACCACAGAGGGAGCTGCTGGCTCCTTGCTCATAGGTTTGCTGCACAAGACAGAGTCCCGGCTCCACCCAGAGAGGAGGATGCGGGAGAGGAGGATGCGGTGCCCTGTGGCGCAGCCCTGCCTGCATTTCTCACAGATGGGCCTAGAGATAGGCTAGCAGTGCCCGTGGCTGATGCAGACAGTCCCTTATCTCTGCCCCTCACACGGTCACCGTGTGATGGCCACAGCCCAGCACTTCCCCTTCTCAACTGGGCCCATTCGCTTCCTTTGTCCCCAAAGAGTCTGAGTCCTAAGTGAAGACGCAGCTGGCTTCGGCTCAGTGAGACGTTTCTCCTGTGTGGACACATGCTGCGTAGCTCAGGCAGGAAGACCCTGGGCTGGCTATCTGTCCAGCTAATGATAATGGAGAGAGATTAGTGTGTCAGAGACACTGCACAAGGCCTACGACTTCCTGATACTCACTGGGCGAGTTGGGTGAAATAACCCACAGGAAACAGGGGTGTGACACAGGGCTCTGGCGATGTGTGTGTGATTCAGCTAACCTGCGAGGTCCCTCACACAGAGGACTGGGAATCAGCATCCATGGAGCAGAGAGGGTGACAGCACCGTGTGCTCCCTGGGAGGATGAGAAGGTAAGAACTGCTGCCCCTCAGCCCAGGCTTAGTCTCCCTGAAGGTGACCAGCTGGGGACGTGGAGGCGTGGTCTGAGGCAAGGGCTGGGTAAAATGAGCTGCAGGAAAGCCAGGCATAGAAGTCACCTCGCCGGTCATCTGTGGCACCTGAGCCTTGTGGTCTTCTTCAGGATCCTAAGGGGCAGCTCCAAATCTTACTTGGGGTGCTGCTTGCTTCAGGTTCAGGGACGCTGTGTGCACACTGATGGGAGGAGGTGAACCCATCATTTGCAGGGACAGCATGGGAGACATGGACAGGAGAATAAAGGGAAAGCCACCCTGCTCTAAGCAAACAGGAAGGAGTTAAAATGGATCCAACCCCAGAGCTCACAATTCCCCTGTGTTGAGCTGATGACTCCAAGAGGGGAAGACACTGCAAAGTGGAGCTGCACTGAGCAGGGCTCTCCTTCCTCCCCTACAGCAGCGGCTGGACACCAGGGTCAGACGCAGCCCGAGGACTGAGCGAGAACATCCTGCCCCCAGACCAGCTGCAGAAGACTCTGCTGCCCTTCCTGAAGGGGCAGCCCCAGGCCCTCGGGGTGAGCAGGCCTAAGATGCCATCCAAGCCTGGGGGAGGAGGCTGAGGAGGCCAGACCCCTGGGGCTGCAGTGTGTCCCAGCCTTAATTAATCTTAGGACCTCAGGAAATGGGCATATGGAATGAAGCTATGAGCAATCAGAAGAACACTCACTCTCTTTATCTAAGGAGAGCATAGGAGGGCACATACTTTGGAAAACGAGTGACAGAGTCGTGTTTTAGACGAGGGAGAGATCTGAAGTAGGACAACCTTGGTGTGTAAACTTCTTGGAGTCTTTCTCCATTTTGTACTTTCAAAGGTGGCCAAAATAAGTGGGCTCAGGGACCGGGAGGTTTCCTTCCTCTTCAGAGCTGCAGCTCCTCAGAGGCCGTTCTTACCCTCAGGTGGCCCAGATTCTCATTGGGCTGGCCATTCTCGGCCTGGGGGTCTCAGTGGCGAATGTTATTTTGATGGATATGGGAATTCTATCTACTGTTGGAATACACTACCGCCTATGGGCACCGTTCTTTGTGAGTATCAGTAGTGGCTCCTGTGCCCCAAGCTCAGCTGTCAACAGGTATCTA